TGAAGTTCCTCATTTATAATTAATTATTTGACGCTCAATATAGGGTTATGCATGTGCTAACGTCCGTTCTTGTGAGGTTATAACTAATACGAATTGGCCAGGAGTGAATAATGGCTCGTTCAAAACCAACACAGTATTGCAATATGATGATAATCTTGAAGTTATTGAGTGGGGCGCTCGAGCTTTAGTTGGCGAAACTAGGCAACGTAGAAATAAGGGAAATAAATTATCAATGCCTGTAGAACTTTTTAAATTACATTTAGGAAATATTCCTGATAATAAAAAGCCAAGATTACCACAAGGTCTTTCTCCTGAAAAAGCTATTGCCGACTATCTTCGTATGATGGGTACGTAATCAAATCAAAAATTTATGAAAAAACGAGTAACAGTTATACGCTGAATGTTATGTATAAGCAGAAATTTCATTTCCGCTTAAACACATAGAACACAGTGTATAAATGATTTATACCCTACGATCTTAATATTGTAGCCAGGGTATAAATAAATATAAATCAAAAAGTGTAAACAATCGTTATTTTTATAGGCAAGGTACGAATTTTTAGGTCCTTAAAACATCATATATAATAAATACATCTATTTTCATAATAAGCTTATTTTATTTTATTTTGGTGTAGTATATAAAAGAAACTGTTGAAACGCATTGGCCGAGAACAAACTTCTTTAAAATGGTGCGCCTAGTAGTTACCATTCCCGCAGGTAATTTTACAATTTATATAGCATATATCAATTTCAAAAATTTTAAATCCTTTATTAATATTATCTTAATGTTTACTTAATACTTTACTATTATAATATTAAATATAAACAGAATTTACAGAAGACACGAAAGCTATCATGAGGCAATGTATTTATGACGCTAATTTAATTGATAATCTTGGTACACAAAATCTACAATTCAGTACCGAGCGTAAGTATTTAATTCATCAACTATTTCCTTATTTATTTTATCATACAATATATGACTTTAATTATAATTGTAGCCGAAGCTGCAGCAGTACATTGCATAAAGGTGTTAAAAGACCATAGACTTAATGTCGGAGGTATGCATAATATATTACAATATATATATGTAATGTTAAAGTAATAAAATTTTCTTCTTAAAAATCAGATACATATCTTGTTGTTGATTGTGGTGGTGGCACAGTGGATTTAACTGTCCGAAAATTATTAGAGAATAATCGACTTAAAGAAACTACAGAACGCACAGGTGGTTTTTGCGGAAGCACTAATGTGGATAGAAATTTTATTGAATATCTTGAAAATATAGTTGGAGAATTTGCTATTTCATCATTACGAGAGAAGCATTACGGACAATTCCAATATGTTATTCAGCAGTTTTGTGAAAGAGTTAAACTTCAATTTACTAACAATCCTTCCGATTTTAGAACATTTGAATTCGACATAAAGAAATATTGTGATTCTTTAATACAGTATTTAAATAGCAAAACTAAAAATGATTTAGAAAATGACGATTGGATAATAGATATTAATTACAAAACTGTCAAGTCATTTTTTGATCCTGTTGTTGAACAAATTATTGATTTAATTAATGAGCAGCTTAAAAAAATTGACAAATGTTCAATAATATTTTTAGTGGGAGGTTTTAGTGAATCTAAATACCTTCAAGCAAAAATTAAGGAAAGGTTTAGTAGTTATAAAGTCGCAGTTCCCCCACATCCAGTAGCAGCTATAGTACGTGGTGCAGTTGAATATGGATTAGACATTGATACGATTAAAACTCGAGTATTGAAATGGACGTATGGTGTTGAAGCATATGAAAAATTTAAGGAGGGTATCGATCCTCAATCGCGTAAAAATAAAGATGGGTATGTTTTAAGATTCAGTTTACTGGCAAAAAGGGGTACTGAAGTAGATGTAAATCAAACATTTTCTAAAAAACTGACGCCAAAACGACCAAATCAGAAAAAGGCATTCGTTGAATTTTTTTACACATCAAAATACACTCCCAAATATTGTAATGAACCTGAAATACATAAATTAGGAACAGTTGCTATTGATTTACCTGATACTCATTTAGGTCTTAACAGGCCTGTATTGGTTACGTTATGTTTTGGAAAAATGGAAATGGTGGCAACAGTAAAAAACGAAACAAATGGATATACATATAGCAATACATTTAAATTAGAAATTTAAATTGTATATGTTTTTAGCAAGATTAGCTTATATTATAATTTATAATTTATAGTATAATTATAAGTTATTGGCTTTTTTTTTTTTGACATTACTTATATATATATGTTATTATCATGTATCAATACATTCATAATCGCATTATACATAGCACAATTGGCTGTCCTATATTGGTGATCATCATTAATGTGCGAATCGTGCAAAAATAGAACTTTAAGACTGAGATTATTTTCTTTAACTACCATTGAAATTTTAAATAAAGAACATTCAAATGTTAATAAAGAACCGGCTTACTTAGAACACAAAATTAAACTAACAACTTCTTACCACTAAACAAAGGGCGGAATGCATATTTGACGTAAATTTGCATATCATTTGACTATGGGCGTTTTCAAACACCCACCTCAATGGACTCAACAAGAATCGATTGGTCTGTTTGACCAAACTTGCCAATCAAATTCTTTATGGAATTCACTGAGATAGGTGCTTGAGAACGCTCTATATCACAAAATTTACATGTGACAAATCGTGTGTTGCTAAAGTAGAAATCGCGTATACACGTTGTAGAAGTGGTAACCACTCCAAGGTCGGAAAGGTTCTACCCCAAAATCCCGAAGGCCATTTCCCCGAAAGAACATAATATTGACTAAATTAGCCAGCATTATAACTAATGCTGGCTAACTTTGTCGGTATTGTGTCCTTTTCGAGAATCTGTCTTTCGTGATTTTGGAGTAGAACCGGTCGGAAAGTATGGAACACACTACCATCAACAAACATTATCTAAAACTACTATAACTACTACAAATACTATATTAAACACTATCTAATTTATGCCCTAATGGTGGCAGGTCGAAAAAGACTTGGTCTGAGTAATTAGGGATAATAGATTAGAACTCTAGACTGTGTTACGGGTCTCCCAATATAGATTCATGGTTTATAATAGTCAGATTCTAACAGTCAGGGGATTACTGGTTTATAACACTAACAATTACACTACCGGGTGATTATGGTACTAGAGATAAGCAATGCTGAACTCTATCCGAGTTCTGCTTTATTATGAAGTCAGAGAGTATCGTATTTATAGCTTTTACATGATTAATGAGTCTATAATGAATAAATTCACTAAAGCTAACTAATTCAACTAATTCAATAAGTGCAATAAATTTTATAAATAAATAAATCAAATAAATCAAATACGTTCGATAAGTCGAACTTTCATTATGATGATTTCTTCCTTCTATGACTCATAAATACTAACTATATTAAATACAGTTCGACCCGAGCCACCTCGGCGTCAATCTACCCTTTCATAATGAACACATTAAATGTGCTAAATCCACAAAGTTCACTAAATCAAATTGTATCCGATCCACCATTTTCATAACGTAAGTACGTATGTACGAACGTCAAAATAAAAATTTATTTTTGTTATTTGGAGTGTAATGGAGAACATCATATATGTGGAAGGTGCGTACATAAGTTACACTCAATACACTTCATAAAAAATACTAAAAATTCATTTGAGTTTCCGTCTGAACAAATATTTAAACTTGTACATGCGATGTGGAGCGTAGCAAAACCATTTATAACACGTGCGTACGTTGTGAGGGTCTCAGGACACCCACCCCTCCAAAAATTTTCTTTTTCTCTGTCTTTTTTGTTATAAATATTATTATTGCCATTGTTATTTTTTCTATTTTGTATTTATGTTAGTAAAACTCAACGTACGTAGTTAGAATAAGTACTATAGTTTCTTAAAATATTAACAAACGAAAATCAATACCTGCTTCGACGGGTTCGAAGGTGAAAAATCAAATAAATTTGATTATCCTGATTTTAGTTCGCGCTTTAATTACCCTGATAAGTCAAATTCACATAGAATTTAGTAGTCTAATCCCGTGATCCCGAATTAGAGCTTCGTGACGTAGTATAAAGCTCTATTAGACTCTAATAACTCGGACCAAGTCTTCCACGCCTTTTTCGTAGCCTACCGCCATTAGGATTTAGATAGAATTCGGTTGTTTGGTGTATTGTTTAGATAGTATAGTGTGAGTTGATATCCGTATTACCCATACTTTGTGACTCCAGATTGGTCACCACTTTTACAACGTGTGTTGTTATGACCAATATAGAAATCCATTAAAATTATGTGTTACTTAAGTTACATCAGCTGTGGTGTTATGGAACGTTAGTTAAGAAATGCCGGGGTGGTTTCTTTCAACCAGGAGGAGTATCAAACTAACAAGAAAGATAAAGGCTATATAAAGAATAAATAACTAAGTTAAAGAAATTTATTTAATATAATATCATTCATTAAATCCACGCATATCCCTTTGTTAACTATTGTAGTTTGATTTGTAATACAAGATATAAAACTATTTATATCCAACTTGGTAGTAACAACATACATAAATACATACGTACGTACGTGCATGCATGCATAAAAAAAAGTAAAAAAAACAAAAAGTTTATTATGAGTACAAACAATTCTTTTTACACCGGCTAATGATTTATTTATTGATTTGTATGAAGATAATTATGCAATTGGTATTAATGAATAATAAATAAGTTTGGCAATTGATTTGAAAATTATAAAAAAAGCATTTAAGAATATATGATTATACAGTAATTATTTATATTGCAATAATATGCTAAGGTAAAAGTCCCTTATAACTACTTATTAAATAATTGTTAAAAGGTCCATTTGATAATCAGTATGAGGAATACTCGATCAATGTATAGGATCATATCAGTAGATTTTTGATAATTAATGGATAAATTCCTACAAGGGTGCATTAAAAAAGAGTTTCTTGTATGAATACGCTAACTTAATCTACTTCTTCTTCAGCAACCATTCTATTATCTTCACCATATTCTATCGCAAGTCTATTATTTTGAAGATTATCTAAAAATGCAGTCATTCTGTCTTGTTGTTGTCTTAATCTTTCATTTTCACGTTCTTTTTGGTCATTTTCACGTTTTTTTTGTTGGAGTTGATCTTTTCGTCTTTTGTCCCAAAAGAAAAAGGCAACTATAGCAATTACAGCTAGTAAAAGCACTGGAACGAGGACCTTATAAAGCAAGTCCGAATTAGAGCTACTTCCTCCAGAATTACTTTCTCCAGTACTACTTGCTACAGAAGAAGATGGCGTAGATGTGAAAATATAAGTAGTTGATGGATTTATAATCCAACATCCAGCCTGACAACCCATGTAGGGAGAGCAATATTCCGCAGTATTCCCACAGTAACCATATTGAGAACAGCAAGGTCCATACGGGCTACTTGCACAACTCATTCCAGCACCACAACTGAAGCCTGACTGAGGTAAAGAAATACATGTTTTGATTTTAAATAATAGGAAAACTATATAACTGTTAAATCTTTGGTTCATAATTATTTTACTATTGAACGCACGCACGATACAAGGTGGTTTTTTATAAGTTTATTATTTTCAGATATTAGTGTTAATATCGATTCGCATAAATGTAATACAAATATGCAGTGAACATTGGCATAACCTCGTACGCATGTGTGCAAGTTTTTAAGACAAATAAAATTGGTTATCGTTATGGATTATTTATTCTGTATATTATTTTAGTTACTAACAGCTAATTTATCTTTCGGAGGCCGGAGTAACGGTGGCTAATTTTCCTCTATCACCCCTGCTCTAAAACAATCAATTAAGTAGCTATTATTAATTTTGCTACTACTTTTCTAGCTTTTGATAGTCTTAAGACTGCAATATTTGCATATTTTTCGATAGACAGGTGTCACCGTAATCCTGCCTTTAAAATAATCTGGTATACACCTCATAGGAAGACTTTCACATGATTGGCAGTTTAAATCGGTTATCACCATGCAAACTTCTCTAAAACAAAAAGTGATTTTGATTACTTTTAATAGTGGGGTCCTACAACCCTAATAAAACTTTCTATATACTTCTTTTTTGCTTATTCTTCATAGGTTTATTTTTTTTTCAAAAAAGTACTTTAAACTGTATAAATAATGTAAAATTAAATTGATTTAAACTGTCAATCATACGAAAGTCTTCCTATGAGTATACACCCAAGATACTGCATTATGCTTATTTATACGTGTTATACAAACCCAAAAAAGAAATGTAAAGTAAAAATTTGAAAATGAAAAAAGGGGATCGATTTACGTACAGTACTGTTCTTGATATTGTTCTAAAAAAAGCTTCTAAACACTTGCTATTATGGTGAAGTATATGAAGAGACTTATATAGGATTTATTATAAGACCTATTGGGAATAACACGTAAACTAATCTAGCTATAGCATTTATATAGCCAAACCTCCCTATAGTCATCCCCTATAGAAGCACATTTTTTTTACATGCATATTTTTTTTAAACAACTCTTATTAAATATAATAAATTTGACCTTGTCATAAAAAAAAAATTGGGTTTCTTTCTTTTTCCTATAATTAGCCCCGTCTTTGATTAAGTATATTTGGACCGATAATAATACTCCTTTTTAGTTAGAATAGAATTGGTGATGGTTTCGGACCTCAGGACATGGTTCCAGACCCTAGATTCTGGTCCGAGACCATCAATAAGGGTTCGAAACCGTGGATCCTGGTCTGGAACCACCGATGGTAGTTCAGGACTTAGGATGGTGGTCTCAAACCCCATAAGTTCAAGAATGTAACTTAAGCTAATAAAGGACAACAACCTTTTTGCTGCGATAAAAAATTATCCTCAAATAAATAAAACACATAAACCTCACATCATCGTCGTCTTTAATAAAATGTCACCTTAATTAGTGCAGTGCTAACTCCGTACGATCTACCCTGCATTCAACACTACGGCTAAATTTAACCTTGGTTAGATCGACGTCCTTTAAAAAACTGTCACAATTCCATTGTTATACGATCGACTAGTTCATCCTCCCTCACGACTGAACTTGTGTTTATGTTAGTAACCCGGAGCTAAATCCACCCTGTAGAACTAAAGTCTCTCCCTGGTTACATCAACCTCTACAATCATCACACTTCTTTATAATCTCATTTTTTTGTATCTCAAAAGTGAGATTTTATCAAATCATAGCATTATAATATATACGGGAGTAGGGATGGGTTCGGCTCAGCTATAGCCGGCTAGCCACCCGGCTATAGTCGTATTCGATCTTAGTCGACTATAGCCGGCTAGCTGCCGGCTAGCCGGTGCCAAATTTTTTATTTTTTAGCTGATATGTCATAATTTATTGCTTAATTCAGCATGAAGTACACAAATTACGGAATTATTGCAAGAAATATCCTAGTTGCCGCACTAATTTTGTCACGGCAGATTCTCGATTTTGATCGGCTAAGAGCGACGATCAAATATTAGGCAGAAATTACTCTAATGAAATCACAATCGCCAATTAAGTGAAAAATGTCTCTGGACTATTTTAATATAGAGTTGGCTTATTTCCTTAAAAAATTCTGCTTTTGTAATAAAAAATTTAAAAACTTAATTCCGGCCAAAAATTACGTAATGCAGGCCAAAAATTTGCAGATCGTGGCTTCTGTAATAAAAATAAATTAATCCCGGCCAAATTTTGTATATAACGACAGTTAGCCAATCAATATTTTTGTTTACTTTTATCCGATTGTTACACAAAAATCGGAAGATCTATTCGATTGATCGTTACACAAAATCGGCTAATCTTATTGGTAACGAAAAATAAGAATACCCACCCTTTGCGAAAATTTTGCTAATGTATATATCATATAGCACAAAAATATAAATTAAAATATAATTATTTGTCGCTTGTTTATATGTTTGGCTAAATAATTGATTAAGTAATTGATCGAGTAATTGATAGGCTATAGCCGGTTATAGCCGGCTACTAGTCGATAGTCGATAATAGCTGACCGTAACCGACCGTAGCTGACCGAACCCATCCCTATACGGGAGGTATAATGGCGTAGTTAAGAACTTATTAATTAACAATAGCTGCCGCAACAAAATTGGCACGGTGTGAGACCAGAAGCGTGACCTGGGCAGGCATGGGCTCTCGTGATTTTGGAGCATGGTGGACAAGTTCGAATTTGGGGGTCCGTTAAAGCCAGGTTCGTTTACATAATGATCTACAAATTGCATAAATTGCGTTCTTGATTTCTTA